CCCCCCCCCCCCCCCCCCAAGGCGCCAAAAAAAAAAAAAACAGCCAAAAGAAATATTTCTAACTGAAAAATTATATAATAAATTTACAGGAAGTCTACTATCAGTCACAGCAACAGATTCCAGACTCAAATTACGCCATTGTGGCATTGACTCATTTTAATCTTTTAGTCTCAGCAAACGCAAATATATATATATCCACACAGATTGTAGATATTATACTATAAGTAACACCCTTAAAAAATTCCATTATGAATCTATAATACAGCTTAATAAAAAATTGAAGAGAGAAGTTCATGGAGGTAACCTTCAATGTTCTCATGTAACTCCCCAAATCACGCAAAAGACCATCCTTTTGATCTCTCCTAAAATTCGGCTCAGAATGGATGGCTCGATCATAACTTAAAAGACGTTCTTTAGTTATTCCATTATCATCAAGGGTTTTCCAGTAGACACTGATGTCAAAGTCACTTTTGATATAATCAATTAGTGCCTGCAAAAACAATTTACGGGAGATTAATTAATAAAGTAACCAAAAGAAGAAAGTCTAACTGGATTAGCATTTCCAATACCTGACAGATCACAACATCGTCAGGACTAGTGTTATTATGCAGCTTTTGATGCCACTCTTCCATCATTCCACCCTTGCAATCATTTTTCCTCTGCAATCAACAAGTAATCTCACTATTACTATTCATTCAAACCCAAAGGGCAAACAAAAAAGACAATGAGAGTATAGATATCCACCTGGATAACCAGGATTTCGTCCCGGATTCGTTGCCCTACATCCCCTTCACCTCCACGACCGATAGTTGACATAAGCATTCGCAAAAGTTCACGATGTTCTGGATGACCACCATAAATGTTCTGAAGCAAGTCTGTAAGCCTGTCCTGAGCTTTACTTATCTCACTGCACCAAGAGGTATTAAATTAGAACCCAATGCAGAGAATGATCACACCTGGTTACACAAACATAAAGACAATCGACTCTGCATTCAGAAGCTAACAACTTATTCAAGAACCTATGGGAATGAAATTAAATGCAGACAGTGCAGTAGATATGTAAGCAAAGGTTGTTTGTAGAAATTCTATAATTGGTGAAGTCCTTTTCCTGAGCCATAAACACTAGAATTTTGGTTTCAAAATGTTGTAGGAGCCAAAAAAGATATATCTACATATGCATGATACAATTGTTCATATACTTACCGTGGCTTTACATTGTAGTTTTTATTCCATATCAGCTGCCTCGTAGCCATAAACCTCATCCACACAAGGATTCCTGCAAGACCCAATTCACCAGCATTGTTGGCTTCTTCCATCAAATCTGCTGCAATATTGAATCTGAGAAGTAGACATGACTTAGAACTTCAATATGGTTGAACCATGCCATTATATTTCAGGACCCCAAAATTTAACTAGGAAATAAAACCAATAGTACTAGGTGCAAACAAGGATCTTATCATACAACAGGAATACACATAACCGGATTGCATCAAAAGCCCCAATTAGGATGGATAAATGCGTAAGTTATGATGAAGACACCATCAAAAAAGGTGAAGTCTATATTTTAGAGCCCAAACCAGATGTAAAGTAATTACAATTAAACCAAAAATCCCCATTAACAACCAAGCCATTTTGCACCCACTGAATGTGTCTTGCATAGATGCAGGACTGAGCAGCTTTAAACTCAAAAATTGAAAATCATTCCCAATAAAACGTTCCCATTAGTCCTCGATTCTGTCCAAGCTAGCTAAATGAGCTTCCTTTATGAAAACAAGGCACACAACAGAATGTCAATGTGGACAGAGAAGATGAGAGAAGTAAGGCATAAAAGGTTCAAAATTTCTGAAAGAAGCCCATATCATCCTTCCAAAAGAACCCCACAGCAAGTCAATGTGGACAAGCTAAGAAGCCCATAGCATCCTTTCCTGAATTCGTGTGCAGCACCAAAATCTAAACTGCAGAATCAGGCTACTTATAATCCTGAAGGCAAATGCAGCCTAACACTGATGAGCAATATTGAAATATGAAAGTTCCTGATGTGAAAACAAGGGACACTCGTGGAATCTTTTGTAATGTAATTGAAAAAAATGTCTGGAAGAGATGAGCTCGACCAATAACGGTCCTAAGAGATAACTGACCGGTGCATAAAGGACTTTTGTGCCTCACTTTCCATATCAGCTATTTTATCCAACAACGCTTTTGCAGTGCCCCTGCCATCGCCATCATCCTTTTAAGAGGAAAACTTTGGGTCATTACATCGGGAAATGATCTGGAACTATGAAGGATAAAAATTGGAAAAGAAAAAACCGAATAACGAGGACTATTTTCCAGAATATCAGACGGAGAGCAACCTTTTTGACCAGCTCAGATCCAACACTGAATTCAACATAGAAGTCTGAACCTTTATTCTTTATCCAGTTTCCACCAGACAAAAGAACAAATGGCATCCCCACAAAGCCGTCCTCAATTTCAATTTCTAATGATTGGACCTGAAAATTGGATTTAGAATATGAGGCTGCAGCCTACAAATTATATCATAAACTGATTCTTGCTTCAATTCTAGAGACATGAATGAATATGGCTTCATGGTATTGAGGCATCTAAGATCAAATCAAATTTGTCACAGCACACCTTGCGAGTTGGACCTTCGAAGGAACTTGGTGAAAATTGTGTTTCACTGGCCTTATCTAAAGAAACTGAACCAGGAGGCAACATACTTGGAGGTGGAGCCTGAGAAATGTCATAGATCTTTTCAGCGACTCGTAAAGGTAGCATAAGTGATATGAAGAATAATACAATCCATTCACATGATCTACGAGAAGGTAATGTTGATAGTTAATGAACTCTAGTATCTTACCAGCCACTCTCCAGGTCTTTTTGATAAAGCCCAGTGAAGGGTAACTGGCTCTTTGAGATCTGTAGCCAAATGAATTTTTGTCTTACCATTAGTCTTTGCTATATACACCTTCAAAAGTCCAGGGAATCCAGCAATTAGTTTTATCCCTGCAAATAAACTTTTCCTGGGGATGAATATCAATATGACATTGTGATCTCACCAGAAGTTCCCCATCAGCAAGCTTGAATATTTTCTTGTTCAAAACAGGACCAACACCTTGTTCCGCTTTTTCCTTAGCAAAAAGTGCAATTGCAGACAAGGCTTGTGGCTTGGTAGGTACCTTCTCTTCCACGGGTCTGGAAGCATATTTGCTGACAACTTGCAGTAAGTCCCTTTTCTTGCGTTGAATCCTTTGAACAGTAACATAATTCTTCTTCTCCAGCTGCTTCGCAACCTTAGTTTTAATCTCCCCTGTGACAATTTTCTTTCGAATCTCATCAAGAGAAGTACCCTTCTCTAGTTCAATTTGCAACTCTTTTCTTGCTTCTTCAAATTCTCTCTGTTAATATAATGCCACTCTAATCATAATTCAACATAAAGAACAACTTGGACACACCTTATTTACCATACATAGCAAAAGAAAACTCATTTAATGTGGATTTAATCCACTGTCTTGAGTGATAAAATGCAAAAATGAAAACAACACGCATATGCAAGGTTTGAGATTTACAAGTTGCTGATCTTGGGAATAATTAGGTTTTCCAGCTTTCTCCCATCGTATATAAGATTGTATTTGCACAAGATCATCAGGTATTTTGCTATTTGTTTGTGAAAGAAGGGGTTCCCTAGCATCACTTGCATTGTTTTTCTTCGTTAGCCTTGCCCGAAGGTCCTGAATGGAAGTTCCCCTAGCTACTTCCTCCAATAGCTCAGATCGAGCCGCTTCATATTCTACCTGACAAGTAACGGCATTCATTGTCAGTAATGGGAAAAAGCACTGGTACTCACATNTGTTAGCCTTGCCCGAAGGTCCTGAATGGAAGTTCCCCTAGCTACTTCCTCCAATAGCTCAGATCGAGCCGCTTCATATTCCACCTGACAAGTAACGGCATTCATTGTCAGTAATGGGAAAAAGCACTGGTACTCACATACCTGATTTACATGGCACAGATCCTCTTTGAGACCACTGGGAAACTAGCTGGAGAATTACTATTATGCTACTTGAAAATCAGATTCTCACCAAACTATCAAGGTCAATATTCCTTCAGGTAAGGTTGAGCTTCATCACAAAATTGTTACAGTAGCACACTCCCATTTATGTCAAAAAATGTCTACAAGATACAGAGACCTCCCTCAAGGGGATTACTCCTCTAAGCATAGAGTTCAGGAAGAAAGTATCCGCTCTTTCTGAGGGATGCTATTACGAAAAGAGGAGGCCACTTTGCAAGTACTATACTTCTCTTTCTAGTTTACTAATGCCTCCTCAACATAACATTACCGTCTTCATCATAATGAAAGGTTATATGCGAAGGCCACTTTGCCAGTCCTATACTTCTCTTTCTAGTTTACTGTAAATATGACCCTCTTACAAGAAAAGAGGGTAGCTCATTTATAAAAGATGATTTTTTATGACATGAGTATCATAGTTATTGGAAACCAAATTTTAACAGTGATTTTAGTTGCATCAGAAGGTTGAGTAGGCATGCATCAATGTTCTTGTTGCTAAAATATGCTTATAGATATAGACTACTTCCCTATTTCTTACAGCTGAAAAATGTCCAGGAAATTCTGGCTATACATCACATGTAAACACTGCAGACACAGATAACCAATTCAACCGTGAGTTGTGCCTTGCACAATGCAAAATTTGCGTGAATTTACATCATAATTCAACATTTCCAGAGAGTTTTAAATTGTCACTTGCATCATAAGTATAGTAACTGACTTTGGAATGGTTCGGTGTCATATGATATAGAAAACACATCTAACGTAAGAATCATTCGAGGCAGAAATGGAAAACAGGAAAAACCAGGAGTCTAGATAAACTCAACACAACAACTTTTAACAAAAGTCTCTTTCCTATATTTTTTGGAGTCGGCAACATGATGTCCCTTTAAAAGATGCATAAACAAAAACAGCATCAGTTACTCGCCTTCTCCTGCTCAGGGGTGTACATCTGTTTACCCCTCCTCTCCCACCTCAAATATGCTTGAATCTGCACGAGATCTTCAGGAACTGAAGAAACATTTGGAATTGTCCTCTCTCTAAACGACAACTTAATATTGAAGTTCTCACCATTATTTTTGAACCTACCCATAAATAAAGGAAGATGTAAGGTTATTTCTAAAGATTATATTGCAAGATAAATCTAGAAAATATTAATTTACCATCTGTCACGAGCTTCATCAAATATAAGGAACTCTATTGCTTGTATTGCAGGATCATCAATCTCTATTCTCAGGAACGAATTGGAGCCAGACTAGGAGAAAATGACAAACGAAACCAATAAACATCTAGTTGTCTATTTAAATCTGTCAAAAGGACTGTTTCCAAATAGTCGGTAGTATGGAGACACATTAGCATTTCTAACTTACTTTCACAAAAGGAGATCTAAGAGCTTTGTTCTTATACACTTTAGTTCCATCAGGGCGACGAGTAGGAAGTACCCATTTCCTGGAATCAGAGGTTGAAAGAATTAAAATTATAGTTTATGTGAAAACTTTTAGTTAATGGAAAATCAGCATAATTACAAAGAAACTTACTCTTTCCTATTTTGTAGCGCACCCCAGTGTAGAAATAGACCATCACCACTATTTGTGACCTGAATATCAACTTGTGACACAGAACCTGAAGTGGGAGGCCTGACATCAATCTGTTCATTTGCATAGGTAAAGCTTATGTTAAAGCTTTTAATGCCAGAATTCATGAGAACTCGGCGATACCCTATCCCTAGTGTCTTTGATCAACTATAAACATGCAAAACATAAGCCACAAATACCTGTAATTCGGTATTTCCATCAAGGTTGAACCTTCCTGCAAGCTGCCACAAGACATGAGAAGGTTAAAACACCCCCACAAAAACTCATCCAGAGGAGAATCTGAAACCCATGCATGCACATATATATCTACCGGGTGCTTAGAATATCATCTTATGTAAACATGATGTTATGCTCAATATTGTGTCGATTTCAGGATTTATTATCCTACTAACATTTCAAGGACTAGGAGACAGTCTGCAGTTTTGAGAAGTTAGGGACCATACTGTTTGAAGGCATCAAAAACGAGCTTTGAGCCATGAGTGAACATAACTCCAAAAAAAAAAAAAAAAGCAGAATAAAACTTTTCTTATATAATATCAAAAGCATGAAAGTTTATCACACAAAATTGGGAAAAAGATTATTTCTCAGATATTTTCAACCCAGAAGCACAAACAGAGAGAACTTTCTTTAAAAGGAAATTATAGCAGGACTAATATTTGGTTCAGGCTAGAACCAAAGGAAGGGTGTATTGCTACTCTGGAAAGAAGTAAATACTTGGCTCTACATTTTTCATCATAACTCGGGTCAAAAAGTTTATTGGATTCGAATACGTGTATCTAACTTTTGAAGAGTATTGTCGTAATCAAATGTTCACACTCATTGGAAGCGCCACTTCCAAGGCATAGCATTTTGAACAAGATGTGTGTTTATTGCCACGGGCGGTGGTCAGTTACACAAGTTTTTTAAAATTATTCACATCATCTAGAGCACATTGTTGCCATCTCTTCTTGTCTAGAAACATCAACCGCACAAAACTAGTAGATCCCCAAAGCATTCATTGGTTTGCTTTGCAGAAGAAGGATTGATACGAAATAATCCTATCCTCCACCGTTGTCACCTTCAACTACTACCAAATGTGATGACTTCATGCATTTCAGAAATTATCTCTTCTTGTACAGCCACTTATCCATCCCAATTCTTTTATTCAGACAACAATTCACTTTCTGAATTCAGTAGGACATTCAGTTAATTATGTCGGCTGACCCTTTCCTCATCAGTAATTACACAAATAATGAGGTAAATAGGTTTTTTTTTCCAGTTACTAAAAAGACAGTACATTTATAATCGTTCAGCAAAAATAATGCAATAATAATCACGAAAATGACAGAATACCTCAGATGCTGGATCAGTGACCAATACAGCCTGAGGAAAACCAGAAGCAGAACTATGCTTTCCCATAGCCAATTTCTTTTTCCGCACACATAAACTTCTACCGCGGAACTCGCTTAATAAAGGCGAGTTTCGTATCAATGAAGTGGCTTGAGCTTGAAACAAAGTGTTTCCGGCAATGCAAGAAGAATTTATTTTACTTTGATGCTCTAAGACAATCGAAGGAAGTAAATTCTGGTGAAGCAAGTTATGTCCTATCGAATTGCTCATATTCCCCAATCACTTCACTCTTCTACCTCTAAAAGACATACCGAAAATCAGCATAAACATAAACATACACATCGCCATATCTACTGAAAATAGACAGAGAATCTGCTAAAATTTGAGCACGAAATAGGAAGTAGAACTTCTGAAAATCAAAAGTTGATGAGATTTTACCTCAATTGACGCTGCAGATACAGTTATGTAGTGAGAGAAACACAATTGAGTACTCCAGTGAGAGAGAGGGATGAAGAAGCTTGGAGAGTGTTAACTGTGATTGGAGCCGTCGAGAATAGAAGCAGAGACGACGTAAGGGAAAAGAATGGCGCTTTATCATGCGCGTAGAACACGTGGTGAGTTATGATACGTCCAGAGTGCAATGGAAGTGTTGGGAAAGGCGTTGTCACGTGCGCGAGGTACGGGGGGACTGTTCAGAGTATGGAGGGGAGAGAGAGAGAGAGAGATTCCGGAAGAGGAGGGCGTGGGGTCCGTGAACAGCGGTACGTTGATATTTAAATTGTGAATAGATAAATGGCCATCTAATGGACGAAGATTTGCAAAATTGCCATTTATGGTTTGATATTTATTTGTTGGATTTTTTTTTGGGTCCTGATATTTTCTCGTGGATTGGGGCAAAACATGCGGGCGTAATTGATCCAATCCGAAACACATAAGAACAAAGAGATTGTGGCTCATTAACGTTGGTGTTGTGGTACACTTTGAGGCACATGCTACTACAATCCTAAATAAACTTTTTTTTACATGTGTTTCTATATATTATTTGCACATGCCAATTAATTTTATTAAATGGGTGCAATGGTTTATTTTGATTATGATCCATAAGTAAGAGTTATTAAGGATGCATGATTTTTAAGAGAGAAGTCTAATGAATGTCATATGTAAAACTCAACACCTTATTAAAATCATATTGTCATGTGTTTAAAAAAATAGAGCATACTCTATTGAAGACGAGGTTTGGTCTAAGACTTTTGATTCACTTGCTATAAGAAAACTTTCTAAAGGACCATTGAAGAGTCAGAGTCAATCGCAATAAAATTTGTTGGTAAGGTCNTAAAAAAATAGAGCATACTCTATTGAAGACGAGATTTGGTCTAAGACTTTTGATTCACTTGCTATAAGAAGACCTTCTAAAGGACCATTGAAGAGTCAGAGTCAATCGCAATAAAATTTGTTGGTAAGGTCAAGTTATTGAGATCTCTTGAGCCTCTATAGTGCATAAAGCTAGACATACTTCTTTAGCATAGGCCACGGGCCGAAGTTGGAAGGTTCAATAAGCTATGCTAAGGAAGATCTTGGGCATTATTTTTGCCTATTTACATGTGATGGAGGCAAAATTGTGAAAAAAAATTTGGATATGATTAATCAAGAAAGTCGTAACAATTTCTTTGAAAAAGTCCGAAGTTGTATTAGNGAAATTGTGAAAAAATTTTTGGATATGATTAATCAAGAAAGTTGTAATAATTTCTTTGAAAAAGTCCGAAACTGTATTAGTTTCTGTGAAAAAGTCTAAACGTATATTAGTTTCTTTGAAAAAGTCTGATTCTCTTTATCCTTGAGCTTTCATTCATTCATATTAAATTAATGAATTGTGTTATGAATTGCTAATTTTAGTAAGGGTAAAGAAATAAATATTTAGAAACTATTAATTGATGCAGTACAGGTTTGGCTTTGGGAACATAGGCTTGAACNAAAATTGTGAAAAAAAATTTGGATATGATTAATCAAGAAAGTCGTAACAATTTCTTTGAAAAAGTCCGAAGTTGTATTAGTTTCTGTGAAAAAGTCTAAACGTATATTAGTTTCTTTGAAAAAGTTTGATTCTCTTTATCCTTGAACTTTCATTCATTCATATTAAATTAATGAATTGTGTTATGAATTGCTAATTTTAGTAAGGGTAAAGAAATAAATCTTTAGAAACTATTAATTGATGCAGTACAGGTTTGGCTTTGGGAACATAGGCTTGAACATATATTCATATAATAATACATTTGCCCAAGTTCCCAACCCTTGAAGCAATCCTTTATCACTTTTGCCAAGCTGCAAGCTTGTGATATTTTTTACTTTTTAGTGTGCATCAACAAGAAGTACAACTTAACTCCCCCGCCCCCCAAAAAAAAAAATAAGCAAGAAGTACATCTTGCAACGCCACGTGAATTCTTATAGGGTTAATTACAAGTTATACCTTAAAAAGATAGTTAAAATTTTAATTTGTACCATCAAAAATCAAAAATCTCAATTTATACCCTTAAATATAAAAATTTATATCAATGTACACCCCCAAAGATAAAAATCTCACTTTCACCCTCAAAGATAAAAATTTGTATCAATGTGCACCTAAAATTAAATTGATAAATTATACCTAGATTCTCTAATGATTGTCACTTAATCATTTGGACCCCTTCATATATAGAATATTACTCCTACATCTCATAACGTTTGTGCACGTGTAACATGTAACCCCTTTTCATTGATATCTTTTAATAAAACAGTTAAAAAATATAATTTTACCCTCGTAAAAAATTATAATGTCCAATGGTAAACTTAAACTTTAAAGTATACCGAACCAACAAAATAAAAGGTAATATAAAATTATAATTTTTTATTAGAATAAAATAATATTTTTTAACGGTTATATTAACAGATATCAATGAAAAGGGATTACATGTTACACGTATACAAATGTCATGAGATATAGGAGTAATATTCTAAATGTAAAAGGGTCCAAATGATTAAGTGATAAGCATGAGGAGATCTAAGTATAATATATCAATTTAGTTTTAGGTACACATTGATACAAATTTCTATTTTTGAGGGTATAAATTGAGATTTTTATCTTTGGGGGTGCACATTGATACAAATTTCTATCTTTGAGGGTGTAAATTGAGATTTTTATCTTTGGGGGTGCACATTGATATAAATTTCTATTTCTGAGGGTACAAATTAAAATTTTTGATCTTTAGAGGTACAAATTAAAATTCTTATTATCTTCCGGGATGCAACTTACAATTAACCCATTCTTATAATAGATCATGTAAAGGTGACATAACCTGCTTGTTTTTTTTTTTGGTAAATTACACAGGACCTCAAATTAAGGATGAGTTACACATCACCTCCCTTAACTATTGTGGGTTACACTTACCCCCATGTACTATAAAAAAAAGTGTAAACCATAACAAGATTTACACTTTTTTATGTGTTTTAAACATTCTTATGGTAATTAAGCTCCTTTTCCTTTATTTTTCNGGTAAATTACACAGGACCTTAAATTAAGGATGAGTTACACATCACCTCCCTTAACTATTATGGGTTACACTTACCCCCATGTACTATAAAAAAAAGTGTAAACCATAACAAGATTTACACTTTTTTTATGTGTTTTAAACATTCTTATGGTAATTAAGCTCCTTTTCCTTTATTTTTCTTTGATATCTTCCTTGCCTTTTTGGGTAGAGAAGAATAAAGGCTGGCACATCTTTAAATGAGCAAATGAACAAATCAGAAAAGTGAATATGACATTTTAAGTTAGCTTCATTTAAAAGGATGTGTCTCAGTGGGGTTTTACTTACTTTCCTCTAATCCCAACAGTTTTTGATTACCTTTCAAGAAAAGAAAGAAACGCAGATTCTATTCAAAACTACAATTTAAACTTGTCGAAGAAGCATAAAAAACGCTAAATTATACTAGGGGATGCAGATATCCTGACTAAGTTAGTTCAAATAGCATAGCTTCAATAGAGTAACGTCTTTGAAACTCAAAAATCATCAATAAAGAAAACATAAAATTGGTGTAACACAAACAATCTAGCTTGCCTTTGTTCTCCTTTCCGACGGAATAGAGTAATTTAAGTCTAAAAAAGTGGATAATTAATTGTGAAACGAGTCGAGGCTTTAAGTTTTCCTCACCAAGAATGAGAAAATAAAAAGTAAGAAAAGAAACCCAAAGACATACGGTGGAAAATGTTTTTTAAAGGTAATTGTTTTAACCAAAAAATAATAATTTTGGTAAAATAGAAAGCTTGTTTAATTAATAATTTTGGTAAAAATAATATATGTGTATTAATGCACTCAAGATTAAGCTTTTAGGAAGAGAAGAAATTCAAAGAAAGAAAATGTAAAACAGTAAAACACACGGTCATTCAAAAGCTTAAAGTACAAAAGGAAAAGAAAAAGAAAATAAGTATTAGAAAGAAGAGAAAATCTTATTTTTGGTCCTTATTGCAACATTTTTATTTTTTTGAGGGGTCAATTTGAAAAAATTAATTATTCAATGATAAACTAAATTTTTTTATACCTATTAGGGGACAAAATGAGATTTTTCGCTAGAAAGAACCTAAAAGTCATCAAACAGTTCACGAGCATCAACAAAAATTATATCAGCACCGGTGCTTAGGAAGAATACATACATATATCCACTTCAAATAACACATTCCCCCCTCTCTCTTTTTTAAATCACCCTCATATGCATAAAATAATCTTCTTTTTCCTCCTATACATTCAGACTTGCCTGGACACAGCCAAACAGTTATCAATGAACTTAAGCAATTCATCGTTGAAGCTGGCTAGAGGCGAAGCAATGTGAAACTGCTTGAGTCCATTGGTACAATCGGAGAAACTCGCCGACGACAGTTTCTCATTCAAACTAACCTTATCCCCACTCTTGAGGTCCTCCAAAGCACCATGAAGATTGTCCAGCATGTACTGGTAACTCTCACTACATGTACTCAGAATTAATTCCTTCGAGTCCTTCTTGACTGAAGGCAATGCTGAGTTGAGGCCATCGACAATTTTCTTTACCCGGGTGGCTCGTTCAAGGGTTCCAGTTATTGCATTCATGGTGGCTTCGTTCCAAGTCTTTGCTTCATGTACCAATGCCGTGCAGAAAGCCTTATCGGTCGCGGTGTTACAGAACGGGTTAACGGAGTCTGGTTGCTGGTGGGCATTGGTGGCAAAGACAAGGGTGACAATGGCCAGAGAGACCAGTGAGAGAGAGTTTTGGGTTTTTGAAGCCATGGATGGTCTCTTTGATTTCCTCCAATAAGGTCTTTCTGGATCTAACAGAGAGGGGTACTCTAGATTTAGAAAATGTCTAATAAATATTGTGGGTAGAATGTTGATAGATTAGAACCTAAAATTGAAGATTTGTGGGCTGGACAGTATATTAGTGGTTTGGCTTAAAAATCTCCATTCATAGGTGTTACAGTTTAGTAGCCATAAAATGCGATGTGCCTTTTTTCTTTTGAAATGGAGTGTGATCAATCCCCATAGGGTAAATTATACTTACACCTGAACTATCACCCCTTTTTTCACTTTGCCCTCTCAACTATTAATTTTTCATATTATACTCTAAACTAACATTTTGATTTCATATTATCCCAATTACAAATGTCTGTTATTTTTTTAATGAAAATCACTGACAGAGTAAAATGAAAAAAATTACATAGATTAGGGGACAAAATGAAATAGTTTTTCGTTAAATATATAACGAACTTAATAATTAAGGCAATGTGAGACTAATCACATAATTAAGAGTACAAAGTAAAAAATATGATAGTTGAGGGGATACAATAAAAAAAGGTGATAGTTTAGGGGGTGTAATTGTAATTTACCCATCCCCATACTAACACAAGTGAGTCAATTTGTTTGCGGTTTTTTCAATCACTAATGTTAGACTGACCAAATTTGGAGCCCAAATGACATGACAGTTGATTTGGGTTTCTTTGATTGGTGTTATGTCATTTGGGTCCCAATAAAAACTTCAAATAATCAACTGTCATATCATTTAGGCTCTAAATTTGATCCCAAAATTTGGTCAGTGTAGCATTACTCTTTTTCAATTGCGGGTTGGAGTATTAATGGCTTCAAAAACCTCTATCAAAAAGACCAGTGAGAGAGAGTTTTGAGTATTAATCGACTAGAGCTTAAGTATGCTGCGACTCGGATCAATTGTGACTACCAATGTTGGAAGTTTGAACTAAGCTTGATTGTCGATCTTACTTAAGTAATCGTTCAATCTCAGCTCATCTTGACAAAAGCTTGTCGTGTAGAACTCAAGAATGATACCGAGCTTAATTTTTCACGAAAAAAATGTAGAATTAAATTGTTTAGGTTACAAGGAAAAATCCCCCAAATCAATAGATTTAAAATGTTGTCAGAGAAAAAAAGGAAGAGAGAATATGTGCCTTAAAGGAATTAGAGAATAAGTTTAGGATTCTTCATTTTTCGGATAGAGGTTGATTGGCAAGAAAATTACAATCATTTGCAGACAATCACCTATTCGAGGGGAGATAAACCACTATTTGCTTGGATTCAATTCATTCACCTATTCGAGTTATTTTTAATTAATAATTGAGTAGAGAGAGAGAGAGGGTTGTATGGACTTTGATATGGTCTAAAATATTAGCCAACGTATCTAATTGTTACGGGGTTAAATTTTTTACCAAATTTCTGTCTCGTAATGGCACTAAAATCTAACACTTAGTCTCAGCTAAACACTCAAAATACACACAAAATGCACATAGAACAGAGAATGGACAATAAGTAAACACACAGGCAAGACACACAGAATTTACAGGCAACAACCAAACCTTTTTTTCTCAATAAAGTATAAGGAACTCCACCTTGGGGTCTGTTTACAAAAACGTGTTAACTCCCTTGTTGCACTACAGACCCCAAAGCACCCTATTTATAATATTTAGGGTGGTAGTTACAAGCCCAACTGCCTAGACACATGTCTATAATTCAAATGCTACTAGAGGTCTGCTGTGATTGGATGATAGTGAAGTTATAACTGGTGTCTGCATGCTTGTCTGAATCTGACAAAGATCTCATATGCAATGCACTTGCCAGAAAACTATCCAGAACTGCCCAAAACTACCACCATCTGCAGAGCACATGCCCAACTTCCTCACATGTTGTGCATGTGTCAGGAGCCCTTAGTATCCGAATTACATTACATTCGTGTCCAACCATGGCCTAGCCCATGGCTCATTATTCAAGCTAGCATCACCCCACAATTCAAGCCGTCCGTTTCTTTTCTTGCATGCTGACTTGTACTCACATGCCCATGTGCATGGACTGCCTCCCTCAGTCATGCATGAGACTTTTGCCATTTTAGCTAAAGCATGGGTGCCTATTGCGCTAAGGCATGGGTGCCTATGGGCGAGGCTACCCAATGCCAAATGCTGCCAATGGCTAAAGGGGTAACAAACTACTCCCACCAGAAGAGCTCAACGTCCTTGCCGAGAGGTTGTCTCAATACTTCTTGATCTGTTTCTTAAACTGCCAAAGAGTCACATCTCATTCCCAACTTGCATCTGCCTCGGAACCCCCTTTCCAATGCACCAGAAAATCAGTCCTGCGATTCTTCTTACTCTGACCCATGGTCTAGTGAGACAGAATCTTGTCGACCTCTCTGTCAAATTATTTCCTGATGATAGGCGGACCCCTTCTAGCTTACTTTCTTCCAGCATTCAATAAGTCTTCCTAAAAGGGCTTCAGAAAACTCACATGAAAAGTTGGGTGAATTTTCAATCGATCAGGCAGCTTCAAAGGATAGGCAACATTCCCGACCTTCTTCATCACCTCGAAGGGGCCATCGTATTTGGGAACTAGCCCACGGTGTACTACCTTGCTGTTGATCATTTTCCATAACGCATGAGTCAATTTTAGCAAAACTAGATCACCAACTTGAAATTCCAGTGGTATGCAACCTTGATCAACATATTTCTTCATTCGTCGAGAAGCTTTGGCCAAGTTGTCCTTTGCCTCGTCAAGCAACTTCTGTTTGGAACGGGCAAACCGATATACAACAGAACATTTTTCTCCGGTCCTCTATTTTACCACTTCATGGGGAGTAAGTGGCTGATGTCCCATAGCCAATTCACAGGGACTCATTTCTATTGCTGAAGATCTATGCAAATTGTAGTAAAACTGGGCAGTGTCTATAAGCTCCACCCAATTTTTCTGACTTACAGTGACATAGTGTCGCAGGTAGTCCTTCAACAAGGCATTAATCCGCTCAGTCTGTCTATCAGTCTAGGGATGACTTGCAATAAAGAACTTCAACTCATAACCCATGAGATTGAACAGTGTCGTTCAGAATCTGCCAGTGAACCTGGTATCACGATCACTGACTATATCTTCAAGCAATCCAAAAGTAATTCACCACGTACTTGTAGAACAGTTCTGTAGCCACATCTGCAGGGCAAGCATGACGTGCAGGAATTAACACCGCATACTTAGAGAAATGATCAAACGCATGCCATCAACCTTTGGTAGATTGCAAATGAAATCCATCGAGGTTGACTGCCACGATCTATCAAGAATGGGCAGGGGTTGTAGCAAACCTACTGCCTTCTTCTTCTCAACCTTGACAAGTTGGCACACTAGACAGGTTCTGACATAGGCTTCAACATTGTTTTCCATCTTGGGCAAGTAATAAGAACGAGCCAGCAATGCAAGCATCCGCTCTACTCCTGGATGTCCAGCCCACTGAGAGTCGTGTGTCTCATGCAGTAACTCTAGTCGTAGTTTCCCTCCCATAGGAACATAAAGTCTGCCCCCTTTAGCATAGAGCAAATCATCATCAATCCAGTATCTACGCACCAGACCTTCGCCAACTTGCTGCTTCAATTTTTCGTAAGCAACATCAATCTGGGCACATTCTTTGACTCTTGCCAGGAAGTCAGTCTGCACATTGGACAGTGCAACAACATATTCTTGGACCTCCTTCCTACTCAACGCATTAGTAACTTGATTTTGCCTCCCGAGTCTATGTACCCATACAAAATCGAATTCAGCAAAAAATTCCTACCATCGGGCCTGCTTTGGGGTCAACTTCTTCTAGGTCTTGAAATAAGTGTTTGCCACATTATCTGTCACAACAGTGAATTTTGTTCCCAGTAAGTAGTGCCTCCAGATTTCAAAGTAATGCACCACAACAGTCATTTCCTTCTTATGTGCTGAATATCGCTACTCAGCATCTTTCAGTTTTCGGCTTTCAAAGGCAACAGGGTGTCCCTCCTGAACAAGGACTCCTCCAATGGCGCGGTCAGAGACATCAGTATGCACTTCGAAAGGCAAATCAAAGTCCACCAATCTCAGTACAGGTGCAGAGGAGACTTCATTCTTCAGCTTCTCAAAAGCTGTCTGATAGGCATCATTTCAATCCCACTTTTGGTCTTTCTTCAGCAAGTCAGTCAGGACATTGCCCTTCTTTGAATATCTTTCAATGAACTTGCAGTAGTAATTGGCTAGACCAAGAAACCACCTCAGTTTAGACACCTTGGTTGGTGCAGGCCAATTAACAATTGCCTTCACCTTCCTCTCATCCATTCGAATTTTGCCATGACTAATGTAATGTCCCAAGAACATCACTTCTTGGCGACAGAACTCACATTTTTCCTTTTTGACATACAGCTGGTGTTCCCTAAGCCATGAGAACACGACCCTCAAATGATCTATGTGATTCTCCAGCATTTCACTATAGATTACAATGTCATCTAAGTAAACAACCACAAAGACATCAATGTAATCGTAAAAAATATCATTCATTAGATTATAGAAAGTTGTCGGGACATTAGTGAGCCCAAACGGCATTACAAGAAATTCAAAAGAACCATAACGCGTCACACATGCAGTCTTTGGTTCATCCCCTTCTGCAATTCTAACCTGGCAAATACCCAGTCCTAAGATCCAGCTTTGTGCAGAAAGTGGCCTTGGACAGTCTATCGAACAGATCAGCAACATTCGGAACAGAATACTTGTTCTTGATAGTCACCTTGTTCAAGGCACAATAATCGATGCACATGCACAACGATCCATCTTGCTTCTTCTGGAACAGAACAGGGGCTCCGTATGACGCCTTGGATGGCTTCATGCTGACAAAATTTAGCAACTCGTTCAATTGTTTCCTCAATTCTGCCAGTTCCATTGGCGACATCCGGTAAGGGACACTAGCTAGAGGCTTTGCACCAGGCTCCAGTTCTATCTTGTGGTCAATTGCACGTTTGGGTGGAAGATTCTTGGGGAGTTCAGGGGGCATAACATCAACAAACTCGACTAGTACATCTGCCATAGTATCAGGTACTTCAACCAACACATCTGGTTTGATCTCCACCAAGGCTGCGAGGTATGTCATCTCGCCCTTTTTCAGCCCAGCATTTACTTGCATAGCGGACAACATTCCCACCTTCCGTTTTCCATCTTTCTTGCTTTGGTCTGCCATGACTGCGGGCACAAAGCAGGGTGCTTTTTCATCCGTGATCAACACTCCATTCAGATGTGGCATCAGTACCACTTTCGCTGTAACAAAAAATTTATTTCCTAAGATGACATCAAAGTCGTCCAAGGGCACAACCATCAAACTCATTTGGCCTTCGCAAAGACCCACCTTTAGGCGTATTTCTGTTGTACCACGTACTAACATTGCTTCAGAATTTACTGCCTTGAGTTTGCTTGAATTTCTGACAATTTCAGGCCAAACTTTGCCACCTCTCTCTAGGCAACAAAGTTGTGGGTGACTCTGGTATCCACCATGGCCTAAACTTCCTTGTCATTCACCTAGGCTTGAACAAACATGAGGCCTTTGCGGGGTTGTTGAACTTTGTCCA